ACGGAGCGCCGGGGGCTCGCTGCGCGCGCGGTCACCCTGCTGCTGCCCTCCGCCGTCCGCCTGGCCTCGTGTGGCGCCGTGGCCCGCGCCATCTGGGGCCTGCGGTCCCGGGCGGCCGCAGGAAAGCGGTGGGCACGTGTGGGCCCCACCTGACCGCCGTCTGCCTCTTCTGTGGCTCGGCCATGGACCCCTGCCTACAGCCCACGCGCCGCCACGACCAGGGGCGGGGCAAGTTCGTCTCGCTCTTCTACACCGTGGTCACCCCGGCCCCCAACCCGCTCATCTACACCCTCAGGAACGAGGAAGTGAAGGGGGCAGCCAGGAAGCTCCTGGGGAGTCTGGGGAGAGGGCAGGCTGGACGGTGAGTGCGGGAGGGTGGGGGGGGTAGGGAAGAAAGTGTTAGCCCAGGGCCCACGGATGGGAGTGCCCATTGGGAAGGCAGTTAGCCTTAGCGTGCCCATTTCCGTGTGAGAATCTGCAAGATTTGTCCTCAGGGAGTCCAAGGTCACTGGGGAGGTCCCATCCTCTGCTCGGGAAATGTTCCTGTGCTTGAGGGCAAATCCCTCTACCCTCGCTATGTACAGGTTCAGGGAGGCGGAAGTGGCCTTCAGGCTTTCTCGTAAGCTGATGAAGAGAGAAGGCATGATTTAGAGAGGACCTTCCCCATCCTCAGGGCGTACTGTGACCACTCCTGAAGGGTCCATATGCTGGTAAGATCATGTATGACAGGACAGTTAACGTTCACTCTCTCCCAGTCTGATGGCACACATCATGAAGACCCCATGGTGTCTAGCTTCAGGAGTCTGCCAAATTAACAGAGAAATCATGGACTCCACCCTGCAGCAGACCCCATCCAAAAAAAAGGAGCCACAGTTGCTCATCTCAGGAAATCAGTCCAACCTAATGCCCACCTAGCCAGGTCACTAGAGCCACCAAGAGCACTGGACCCCAAAGTGTAACAAGGAACTCCCCTAAGTGGGGCTTGTGCTGGTTGGGTTAAGCTAGGGATCTCCTCTGCACAAGGTGGTTAAGAACAGAAGGGACTAGACATGTCTTAGATGGTGAGGAAGATGTGTTCCTGACCAGGCATGAGACCCAAGAGGGACAGTGAGACAGAGGAGTGAGTAAGGGGAGGAAGACGGAGGAAGGGACCCAAGTTCCCCAGAGAGGAGCAGACACCAGGGGTGCAGGAGACAGACAGGAAAGACCTCTGTCAGCCAGAACCTGGGCAGAGCCTTGGGAGTCAACCAGAGACCAACCCAAAGCCCCCACCCAAATGATGCCCCCACCCCTAGAGAAGACCTGCTAGACCCTAACGCAGGCAGGACAGAGACTGCTCAACAACCACACCTCCCCCAAGGAGCCCCCACTGGAGAACAAAACCTCTGAGTCCCCAGGGAAGGTACCTTTCCAAGTCCACCATCATCCCCAGAAATAAGAACAGTTGAATTCAGTGTGGGGCGTAGAGCATAAGATGGCACACCGTGCCAGGATTCATTTCATACCAAACAACTTTAAATAAGGACCAAGAAGGTAGTTTAGTTGCATTTCTAAAGTCTTTGTTAATTAGATTATAATCATATCAGAAAAATTAACTCACTTCAATATAAATCATTTCACTGTTCTCTATAAGCAGAAATTCAATTTGATTCAACATATTGAGTGATATTACAGATGAAATATATCAGTGTAAACACAGAAATTAGGGGAACATGGATGCCAATGTAAAACTTGCTATCTTGTTGGACAGAAGAAGAAATAGGAATTTTTCTAAAAATCAGAGGGAACCAGGAAAGGATTAAATTGCAAGCTGGCTTTGATGCTATCTCTCCTGTGCCTTAAAATGTTATTTTCTGTTTTCAGTAATATACACAATGCAGCCACCTAATCAATTATGTTAGATCAAAAAATCATGGAGTTAGAAAGTTCTCTGCAGTCTTCCTCCCCACTTCACCCCTAATTTTCTCTATTTATCTTTCTCGTTAATTTGGGGAAATCATCAAAGGATGTGGGTGGATTAAGAGCTAACAGTAAGCTCTTTTGCTCCTAATATCACCCATTCCTGGCAGGCTCACCCCCCAATGAAGTAGTCTGTCAGGAAGAGTAAATTGCCCCCTCTGATGCCATAATCTGCCATGGTCTTCCCATCTTCCAGCCTCTTGCCGTTGCAAGTCACAATCTGTTTCTCAGGCATGATAGCAGTCTTGGTCTCTATCATCTGTTTCACCTGGGCCACTGAGCTGGACCTTCGCACCTGGAGGAGGTGCCTCTGCCCCTCATCACCTGACTCCACCAGAAACAAGGGCAGCTCCTCATCACTGGGCTTCACCACCTTCAGAGTGAGGTGGATGGTCGTCTCCTTGTCAATGCCGTAAGATGACAGCTTCCTCTGGGGCTTTAGAGTCTTGGAGCCCATCAGAAGGACCTGGTCTTGCACGGGAACCTTGGTCTTAGCCCGGACGTGTTCATTGATCTTCACTCTGTCATTCACGTTAGCAGTGAAGGTCATTGATGTCCCTTCCTCAGAATAGACCTTCACCTGGACAATGAAGGCCAAGAGACCTCAAATCAAGGTGCCTGGAATGCCTGCCATCTTTTACATCACTGTCCCCTCCTTGCCCAGCCCCACCCTCCCTGCCTGCTTGGTCCTCCAGCTCCTTTACAAAAGTTGTGTCCCTCCCTTTCTTGGAACTTCTCTTTGGGAATTTCAAGCTTATAACACAGGAAAATCAGTCTTATTGCTTTACAACCATACCTCTCATTCATCCTAATGTCATTAATGATTTCCCATGTTATTTGCCTGCCTCCTATCTGGATAAAGTTTGTCAAATGTCAAAACTAAATACAATTACAAAGCATCCCAAATTATATACCAGGCACTAAAAACAACTCCTAAAGAGAATTCCCAAGACTTGTCAGCCTCATGGGATGCTCACACACTGCTCTCCATGACTACTTTAGAAGGAAACCCTGGCCAGGACACATATTCTCTGTACTCCTGGTTTCTTTCTTAATGTCCCATGGCCTTGTAATAACTCACACATTACAGTGACACTGTGTTCAGTGTGACTTGTTCCCCGGACTTCCTGTGTTTTTACATCTACCTATTGCAGAATATGATCTCCTCCTGTTGCTAGACCAGGGCCTCACTCACAGAAGGTTGGGCCAGATCTAAGTCTTCCTTCCATAGTCTGAAGCTGGGCAAGCTCACCTCCATGTTGTCACTGAAAAGCCTGGGAGGACTTCCCTCATGCTCCATTCAAAACCATCTTCCCAGTTGGACGTCACAGACATTTCCTCACTGGACCGATGCCCCTCCATGCTAAGGACCACTTTGATGCCAGTCCATCTATAGTGCACATACTCTTTATAGGCTCATGTATCAGGTCATTAACAGCTTAGAGTAAATGAGTTTTGTGTGCCTCTCTTTTGGGAGGAGAAGGAAGTTGAAGAGCCAAGGAGCCTCTAATCAGAAGAAGGAAAAAGGGCTCCAGACAATATTCCCATAGTTTCAAATCCAGCCCTGTGATTACGAAGCCCACTCCCACTTCCCACCATCCTCCCCTAACAGTGGCCAGTCGGGTCTGACACACAAGAGCATTCAGGAGCCAAATGAGCTGCTTCTATTCCCAGAATCTTCCTTCAGCTTCGGTAGCTATCAGAACCTGTCTCATCCCCTACAGGATGCCTTCCCAGCCACTCTGCCCCCACATCCCTCATAGACTCGCTCCCCATCCCTTGGAGGTGCTTTTTCTCTCCCCATCCCCACTTTCAAGCCCCACCTTACACAGAGGCAGGAAGCACTGGATGCCATGTTTGCAATCAAGGGAGGAAAGGAGGCTGAGGAAAAGGACTTGCATCCAGCTTATATAAGAGCTGAGCTGGAAATCCCCTGCCTGAACCACTGTGCCTGTGCCCTTTGTTTTCATGATATCATAAATTTTCTTTCACTTTCAGTAGGGCAGAGTCAATAAACAAAGAATACTCTCTGATCAAACACATTCCTCTGTTCAGAACTTCCCCAGTTAACAACCCACCACTACCAGTGCTGACTTATGACTGCCCAGCCTGGGGCCCTGGGCCCTCACCCACTTCAAGACCTTTACTATCTGATGGTCATCTCTTGTTGCTTTCGAGAACCTGCCCCATGCCATCACTCAGGGGCCTTCCTGAGAACAAGGGTGCCCAGGAGAGGATGTAGGAGTACGTGAGGAGTGATGTGACCGTGAGCAGACAGTTCACACCAGCCCGGCAGAGTGGGAGGCCAGGAGAGGATGTAGGAGTCCATGAGGAGTGATGTGACCGTGAACAGCCTGTTCACACCAGCCCGGCAGAGTGGGAGGCCCAGGAGAGGATGTAGGAGTACGTGAGGAGTGATGTGACTGTGAGCAGACAGTTCACACCAGCCCGGCAGAGTGGGAGGCCCAGGAGAGGATGTAGGAGTCCACGAGGAGTGATGTGACCGTGAGCAGACAGTTCACACCAGCCCAGCAGAGTGGGAGGCCCAGGAGAGGATGTAGGAGTCCATGAGGAGTGATGTGACTGTGAGCAGACAGTTCACACCAGCCCGGCAGAGTGGGAGGCATGACTGGAGATCACACAGAATACACAGCCTGCTGTGAGAGGAGATGGGAGTTCAAGTCCCGGGGTGCCACTTGCTACCTTAAGTTGTGCAAGTCTGTTCAAGTCCTTAGATGTTTGTTTTCCGGTCTGAACATGAGATGATTGGAGGGAATTCAGAAAACAGCTTGTAAAATGGACCTTACATTCCTGGGTCTTGAGCTCTCTAGCACTGTCCCTATCCTGTCACAGAACCTGCAAACCAAATCTAGTACTTAGAACAATCCTAGCCCAACAATCAAGTGCTAAGCCCACCTTCGTGCAGCAGAACAGCACACATCGGCTCTCACACCACGGTGACTGTTTCCCACCTTTACTACTGGACACTCCCTACTCCCCGGCACTCGCACACACACCCGTGATGCTTCTTCCTCCTTGGCTCTGGAGGTTTGGATCGGGACAAAAAAGGGAGGGCACAGGCTGTGTGCCCTCAGCGAGTTTACTTGGCTGCTCTGATCCTCCTAACATTCCAAAGGAGTCACTGCCCTCTCCCAAGCTCTCAGGACAGTGCCACAAAACACATTCTCAAAAAAGCCTTTATGAAAGGTATTCCCAATTTTTTCAAAGTAAAAATCCCATAAAAATGTCATTATCATCTTTTTTGCTGTGTTCTTAGTGGCCATTTACTGTACCTTCAGCACCAATAGGTGTCAAATGATCCCATTTTACTGCAGGACTTTCCATCCTGGAGAACTTGGGTTTATAGAAGTGCCTATATAGAGTAATGGGATCCAAGAATCAATCCAGTATTTCAAAAAAAAAACTCAACATAAATTAGGTTCTTCTATTTGAAGCTCTTATTAGATAGCCATAAACTTGGAAAATTATTATTTAAATGTATTTTGTGGGGTAGACATACTTTTCAAGCACATAGGATGGGTATGAAGGGGGAAGAGTGCCTGATGGAACAGACTGGAGACAGTGGGCCCTGCCAGTCTCCCTTCAGATGCCTCTCTGTGTTCCTATCATGCCCTGTGTGCAGAAACCAAGATTGTGATCTTGGATCTGCAGGTGCAGCCCTGCATCCAGTGTCCAATAGGATCTGCGGATTCTGAAACATCACCAGTAACCGAGCAGAAAAGGTCTGATCAGGTGGAAGGTAGCAGGGAGCGAGCCCACAGCAGGAAGAAGAGAAGGGAAAGCCTCACAAGGCTCCTCACTTCCACATTTCACCTGTGCCCATTACCGTCTTAGACCTTTGCCTCATTTCTAGAAAGGGAAGCAGAGAGGAGGTGTCTAAAGCTGCTTAGCATTAAATCATTCTTCTCGTCCTTCCCCTTTTTGCCTTTCCTTCCTGGGCAGCCTACACCATCTTGAGGCAGAGGTCTCCTTTCTCAGGGGAGCAGGGAATCTCGAGAGAAGCTCCTGCAGGGAGAGCCCAGGAACCACATTTCTCAGGAATGGTGCCTGTCAGAGCTGTACCCCCAGCCCAGACCAGAGCTGTGGATCTGCAAGTCTAGCAGCTTCTGTGCACGATTCCTAGTTCCCTGTATATGCCTGGACATACAGGTCTCTGCCACCAGGTCAAAGAGCATGTGTGTCCTTCCAGCTCTACCCACAGTGTCAGGGATTTATACAGATACAAGATGTAAGCTGTGCCTCCTCCAGGAAGCCTTCCCTAACTCCTGTCCTAGTCTGACTCATGTGCCCATCCTCTGTCCAATCATTCGCCTTCCACAAGCCCCTCAGGGCAAGTTTCTCCAGCAGGAAGATCATCTGCTTACTTGTCTAATCACCCCCATGAAATAGTGGAGATCTGGGGGGGTCATGATTGTGTCTTGATTAACTTGGGTCTCCAGCACTTCCCGGGCATGCTGTCTGGTACAGTAAATACTTAACATTTACCAAATGCATGAATGAACTAAAAAAAAATAAATGAATCAGTAAGTGAATAACAAAAAATGGAAAATAACATTTGATGAGTATTCATCATATTTCAGGAGCTGCACAAGATATTAGTAAAAGGCACCTGATGAACTGTTCTAGCTTTCTAATGAGGTAAATATTAGTATCTCCACTGATAAGCAAGCAGTGGACTCACCCACAGTCACATTAGTAGTAGCTGTGAGCCCGTCTTCAAATGCAAATCTCTACTGCTGTCCGTCTACTAATCTCCCCCCAGTGGAAGGGAAAGCGGGAGGGCATGGCATGCATACGTTTGCATTATAGGAAGGGTACCCATAGGAAAGGGGTACAGACAGACAAAGGAAGTCAGAGCCTGCAAGGAGCCTTGTGAGGAATGAGCAAGGAGAGCTCTGGGCCCATAGTTGGTAGGAGCATCCCTGGGTGGGAGTCCCTGCCTAGACCACTGGGCAGCCGCCAGCAAAGAGCCGTGAGTGCAGCAGACAGAGCCTGGGGAGGAGGGCAGCGCTCCCAGGACTGGGAGGGTTGAAGGTGCCACTCTCACACTCTCCTCAGCCACAGGGGATTTCCAGCACGGAGCTACTTCAAGGGCCAGCCTGGGATTCTCCCAAGAATAACTAATTCAGGGGATTCCCTACCCAGACAGGATCTGGATTCTGAGAAACACTGTCCTTGCAAGGAATCAGAATAAACAAACCTAGACATTGACCTCTCTTTTCCCTCCTCCCTTCCTCTGTGTAGTTCCCTTCCATGCCAAGGGGCAGGGCAAGGGCTGTCCCCGTGCCCTTCTGCTGAGTCACAGCTAGGATTTCCCCCAGGACCTGACCTCCTCCCTGCTTCCTAGCACACTGTCAGTCTGACTTTTTTTTCCCTCTGTGTCACAATAAATGTTTTCAGAGGCAGAAAGATCTCTTTCCATTTGCCCTTCGACAAATTCAGGACACCAACCAAGGTAGAAGGTCATGCTGATCTCACCGGGTCATAAAACAAATGTCTCAGATACACACAAACCTCCCGGTGTGACGACCTCACTGATGGGCAGTCTTGGGCTGGTCA